CTACATCCTTTCCAGGGCTGGGACCTTTCTCTCTTTTGCCTAAGGAAATAAAATTGGACTTGAACTGCTGGTGCCAGCATCTGCATAGTCTGTACTTTTATTGCAGATAACGAAGGTAGAGATAACTAAGGTTGTGGGACCTGACTCAGCTGAAGTGACTCTATGCTGGGCTGACAATAGGCCAGAGACTATCCTTCTCCCTCTCCTTATCAAACCTTCATATGCTAATTGCTAATTTGGTTAACAGCCCACCCAGGGACAAATGGTATGACAAAAGGTTACCATAAAACACTCCCCCCATAAGATAAACAGTGTGTTTGGAATCTTATCCCCTGGTAGTTCTGTGAATGCCCTGACCTATGTTTAAACTTTTTGTTTGGAAAAACCCTATAAAAAGGACCTCAGCCCCTGAGCTAGTGCCTCTCTGAGCTACTTGGCTCTGGGAGTGCTGTCTGGCCGGACTAATAAAGGTCTTCTTATTGTTGTGTTCCTCTCCTGGTGATTCTCATTCCTCTGTCGAGCTCCTGGAGCACTGGCTGGGCTGTGGGCCCAGCATCTTGGAGGCCTTCAGGCTGTTCAAGCTCCACGGAGTGGAAGTAAGGCACTAGGTCTTACAAGGTAGAGATTGATAGGCAGCTAGAAATGGACCAGTCCCAAGATAGAACAGAGTTGAGACAAACCAGGCCAGTGGTCAAGGGCTGAGTTGATAGAAACGAGGCCCTAAAATGGAGACCGGATGCCTAGCCCTTGAAGCCTTCTCAGAGATAAACGATAGCTCAAAGCTGTACTGTCACCAGCACTATCTGGTCCAAGAAGCCTAAACAATCTAGCAAACACATAGATAGATGACCAGAACACTGACTCTCCCTCCTACACCTTCCAGCAATGCCTTTTGCTTCTCTGTGCTCCATATCCCGTTTTTCTACTAGATTGATATTAGCTAAGTGATGGCACATGTAGTCCTATGGATTGATTTTAGTTTGACCCAAGTGACTTGTGACATGATTCCGCTGTATAAAAAAACCCCTAAACAAAGAACTCAGTGGCAACCCATTTTTGGAACCCCTCCTGCCTCTCAGGAACTTTCTCTTAATGAAACTTTCCTACTCTTCACCTCCTTTGTCCTCAACTCCATTAGTCAGCATCGTGAGACACAAACTCAGAACATCTGACAGGTTGGAAGTTACTGCCTCACAACATTTCATTGAGCTGAGGAGAGGTGGGGTGGCCACTTATGCCCTAGGCCTCAAGAAGCTTGGAGAAGTCACTTGTCTTAAAGTTCCATTTTGTGGTGCCAGTTACACTTTTATAGTGTGGGAGGGGGCCTGTACTTGTTTTGTTCACCACTCTCTTGGGGCCTTCAGACTCCCAAACATTTTCTAATGACTGACTTTTCTGTGAGTCAAGAATTGCAACTTGTTTCTCTCCATTAGCTATTGCCATTGCCTGACCAAGATCCCAGCGAAGAAATTGCCATGTGAGACACACATGTGAAGAACCCGTGCTATGAGTGGAAAAAAAAAATTTACCACTAGTCAAGGAACATAGAATAGCTAAGAGTTTACTGACATACTGCAAGAGACCAGCAGACCAGTCCAAGACAGGACCGCACTGTCAGGTCTGGGGGGAGAAAGACAGATTTTCTTATATTTGGTTTTAATTTGAAGAGAAGGATCAGAAAAGCTTTCATCAGGCCGTTGCCCATCTGTCTGAGTTGTGAGGTAGTGAGATATTTGAAGAGCAAATTATTTTTTGTCTGATGTGGTCCAGCACCCTTGGTGTTGCTAGATTCCTGAAGGAATTACACTACTCTAAGGTGTGGTTTGTTTTAGTTTGGGGGGTTCCCTCAGAATTAGGCCTTTAAAAGAGGATTTGCAATTCACTTGGAAGGTGGCCCCGGGAAATGCACCTAAGGGACCCTAGGGATGGAGGGAAGTGAAGTCCACCTGTGAAGTGTCTTGCTGTTAAGCAAAATACTGAGGTAGGATAGAATAAAGGCAGATAGAAAAGACGAGGAAAACCATAATTTAAAAATTGTACTTTTAAGAAAAACTTCAGTGCTGAACATGGTGGCATAGACCTGTAATCTCAGCACTCTAGAGGATGAGGCAGGAGGATTGCTGCAAGTTTAAGGCCAGCCTGTGCTACATAGTGAGTTCAAGCCTGGTCCGAACTACATAGGGAGACCCTGTCTCAAAAGAGAGAGAGAAAGAGGGAGAGGGAGAGAGAGAAAACAAACTTTAGTTTTAGGACACAAAAGGTTGTCACGCCTTTTTCCCTTCCAAAGAATTCCCAAGCATCTTGAAGACATAATAAGCCTGCAATTTGGGCTCTGGGCCCATGCTTTTCACCTGTCAATCATGCTTCCTCCCACACACTTCCATCCTCAAGGAAGCAGCCCTGTTATGGGCAGGACACCTCTAAACCTCAAACGCATGCAAATGGTGTGCACTCTGACCTAGCCCACCCAATGGGTGGCCTGCCAGACAGCAGGAAGAGACCCCAAGACCACATAAAAACCCGAAGCCCAGACCATAATGTGAGGGTCCACAGTCACTCAGTGTTCTGAGCGTGTACTTCTCTCTCTCTCTCTCTATCCTTTCTTTTTGCCTCTGCTTCCTTCCTTATGCCTCCCCCCAACACATGATTCCTATGATTCCTGCGATGTCGGTCAGTAAACCTACAACCTGCCCCATGCGCGCATGCGCGGGGTGACTCGAGGTCTCGTATTCTCCTTAGGAGGCCCCCTTGGACCCTATCAGGTCACAGCGTCCCTGTGTGTATTGATCCTTCACAGTTACTTCACCTGAGCCTTGAGAGGACTGAGCTCTTTGTACAACATTTCAGTTATTGGTCAATGATGTGTCCAGGGCTATGTTATTTTTCCAGCTCTTCTATCTTTTTTGTTTGTTTGTATGTTTTTTGAGATAGGTTCTTGCTATTCAGTTCAGACTGGCCTTGGACTTTCTATGCAATGTAGGCTGACCCCAAACCTGTGACAGTCCTCCTGCCTCAGCCTCTCAAGAGCTGGGCTTACAGCTGGAATTACGTGCACCACCAAGCCTGGCTTCCCCTGCACTTCTAGTGTGGGCAATGCTGGCTTTTTGGTCAGAAGACCATAAAAGAGAGAGGTGCTGCATGACAACATGAAATCGTGCCAACGTGTAATAAAGTAGAAAGGACAAAATGCTACGGACAATGAAGCCATATAATGGAAGACACTTTTACAGGTAACAAACGGGACAGTGTTGTGACCAGATTGCGATATCCCTAAAGACCACCAAGGAGTCGAGTTCAATGCAATCACACAAGGAGTTTATTGCAGGCTTGAGCCTGGACCCCTGGTCCTCACGGACGCAGTAGTTCTGTACCGAGAGCCCCGAACCCCATTTCAAACAGGCTTTTTATTAGCAAAGGAAGCAGAACTAGGGCTTTCTAGATGGGTAAGTGCCTGATTGGTTAACATTGGGCAAAGGTAGATGTGTTTCTATTCTATTGGTCAGGGCCAGATGTCCCTCCCTGCAAGATTAACAGAGAAGGACACCTGGTTATGGTTTACGAGCACTGTCGCGGGTTTTTCTGAGAACTGGGTCAAAGGGGCACTCCGAGGCTTTTCCAGTAACTGGGTGGTCGCCTGATCACAAAATGGAGTCATTTTTTTTTTCAAAATGGAGTCAGTTTGGTCTCTACAACAGTGCTGTAGATCTGTCCCCAGTGTCAGTGTGAGGGAGTGGAACATTTAAGAGGCGGGGCCTGATGGAAGGGAGTTAGGTCATGCAGCTCTGGCTCTGTGCTCCCCTCTCATGAATAAGTGGGATCAGAATGAGTTGTTTTCTGGAGAAAGGGTTGTTATAAAAAGAACAAGCCTGGCCTCACCCCACCTCCTGCTTCTGGTCACACCAGGTGGTCTCTTCTGCGTGGCTCCCTGCTTTGTGATGCCATCCAGAGCTGAGCAGAAGCTGACACCATGCACTTGAACCTCTAGAACCGTGAACTCTTTTCTTTACAGAGTACCCAGTATTTTGTAACAGTAACACAAAACTAATTGTTATAACAAGCAGGAAGTCAAGAAGAAAAACCACAGCAGCAAATATAATGCGGATCCAGGTAAAGCACCTGGAATGACGCCTGACTTCCTTTAAGCTTCCCGATCCTTCTTCTGCCTGTCTTTGTCTTCAAACAAGGTGGGGCTTTGTCTTGTACTTCTCTCCATCTCTGGTGAACTCATTGCTTATCTCTTCAGCATTCGGTTTATAGTCATGAAAATGCTCACTATTTGTGCTAATGATCAATTTAGCTTCACTTGAAAGATGCCATGAAAATTCACTTTCATCTCAGACTCTTCCTCTTCTTCCTAAAGGGATCTTCCATTGCCAAAATGATGTGATTTTAGGAGAGACACCATGACTCAAACACTAACAATGCCCAAGTGGAGAGAGTGCCTCAGATTGGAGGCTCTCATAGATGTCACAAGTTATGGCCTATACAAATCCAAAGTGTGTGCTAATAACCCTGAGTCAGCCTATGCCTATTGGTTCTAAAGAGCTTCACTTGCTACCGGACAGTTCTGTGTTCAGATTAACCTCGCTCTTACATCCAGGTGTAGATCCCAGAAGATAGACTTCAAAGGGTATTCACGATGCTTTACTGAATACATTAACTGACAATTCTGGTTAATAAATAAAAGGAAACAGTGACATTTTCTTTGACAAGTTCATTGTAAAGTATTTATAAATGTAGGATGCGCTCCACTCAGCTTTCCCTTTCCTACATGTTAAAGTTCGTCATATTCACTTGTGCGATGCCATCTCTAAAGTGATCAATCAAATGCAATTACTGCAGGCGTTCATTTGCCATGGCAAACACTGAATATTATGCTTTTCTCTCCTGCAGGCACTGAGAACAAAACAATTTGTTTTCTTAGAAAGAAAGAAAGAAAGAAAGAAAGAAAGAAAGAAAGAAAGAAAGAAAGAAAGAAAGTCCCAAACTTTCTTGCCAAAAGGAATTTAAATTCTTAAATTCCTACTGGAATTTATATTTTTAGGGTGAAATGAAGTAAAAAGAGTTTTGGGCTTTGGGGTTTTGTTTTTATTAATTTCTCATCAGCAAAGATGTCCCCACGTATCGTCCTTTTCTGGAAGCTGACTAGGCGGCGTAGTCCGCGGACTGCCCTGACTTCGTCAGCTCTCGCTTCAGCTGCTCGAAGCAAACGAACATAATAACGTTCCAGGATGCGAGGCGCAGGAAGGAAGGCACAAATCTGGAAAATCGGGGCAACCACTCTTATTAGTCCATTTGAAATTCTTAAAGCTAGTAAAGTACAGGCACTTCACGTTTCTTATTTTGCTACTCTTCTGTAATGAAGATGCTCAAAATCATCTATCCTTTGCCAAAAATAAAGTTTCCTCTAGAAGTTCCATACTGCTTCAAAACAACAAAATCTCAACAATCCCATCTGTGCAAATCCATAAATATCCTTCACTGCCACCAAACCAAAGCATAGTTTTCAGTAACTCTTTCTTTCTTTGCTTTTTTTTTCTTCTTTGTTTGACAGCCAGGAGGGAGGGAGCCATTAAAGGAGAAAGTGGGAGGAGCAAGTGAAGAAGGGATGAGTAAGTGGACTCTGTCCAGAGTCAGGAGTCAGGATTGTCTCCATCTCCGCAACTCTTGTCCTTAAAGAGGCCATCAGGATTTAAATAGATTTTTGTTTGTTTGACTGTTTATGGTTTTGGGGGGTTATTTTTAAGAATTCTGTTACCTCTGTTGACCAATTTTGAATGCCTGTTTGAAGCAATGAAATATTACAGAAGGGTTTGCATCTACTCCTAAAAGAATGTAGACTACAGAAATCACGTGACTCCCATGGGACTTTTTATTTCACCCAGGTCTCTTGATATATTTCTCTTGACTCCAAGATGCATAGAGTTTTTATTGTGAATGCATGGTTTTATCCATTTAAAAATGTGTAGTTTTAAGATGCCTCAAATGTATAATTGTGTGCATCCGACACCATCATCTGGTTCCACATTCTGTGTCACCTCAAACTTTGTACCCACTATATGTCTGTCAATAGTTGAATGACAAAGAAAATGTACATATACATGATAGTTCTACTCAGCCATAAAGAAGAATAAATTTGAGTCATTTGTAGGAAAGTGGATGCCTTGGAGACCATAATATGTTAAGTGAAATGAGTTAGATACACAAACACAAGTATCGAATGGTTTCTCCTGTATGAGAAACCCAAAGTATAAACAAAGAGTTAAATAAAAGATATGGTAATATGAAATACAGAGACAGACCCTCTATAAAGGGGAAGGGGAACTAGAGATGAAGTGGGGGAGGGGAAGTACAGGAAGTAAAAACAAATTAAAGTGTGCTATGTACCAAATCCTCAGGATGAATGTAATCATTAAATAATAATCATAAAAAAGAATCTCTGTACCCAATTAAGTGCTAACTCCCCATGTCCACCGCTCTCCGGCCTCAGTAACTGCTACTCCATTTTCTTTCCCTGGGCATTGAACTATGCTAGGCACCTCATTTAAATGGAATCTGATGGTATTTGTCTTTTTGTATATGGCTTATTTTACTGAGCCACAGAATGCTTTCAGAGTTAATCCACTATTATAGTATTCTCTCCTAAGAGGTTTTCACATTTTGAAAAGAATAAAATTGTTGTTAAGTGTTTAATGATTAATAACTAGTATAACCACTTTAAGTTAATTTTCAACGTGTATTAATTGTATTAACACATCATAAGTGCAGATAATCTTGGAATATTTTGAATAACGTGTATGGAACTTATAAAGTTTGAGGCATTGCCCTTATTATTTTACCACTAATGTAGTCTTTATTGGACATGTTCATAAGGTAGTTCAAACTATATTTTCTTAGGGAGGTAGTTTTCAATATAATATAATATTACATTATGAAAAAATGTAATCTATTGTCCAATAGTGGCTTCCAGGTAAGTGTAATATTTACCCAAATCACATAGTTTTCACCTTTTTTTTTTTTTTTTGTAGTACTAGGGATTCAATCCAGGGCCTTCATACTGAGCTATACCCATAGCCCTTTTAATATTTGTTTGTTTGTTTATTTATTTAGAGAGGCAGGGTCTAGCAATGTAGTTCAGGCTGGCTTTGAACTCAGAAAAATGCTCCTGCTTCAGTCTCTAGCATACTGGGATTACAAGCATGTGCCACAATGTCCAGCAGTAGGTTTTTAACATTTTGAGACAAGATTACTAGTTCAGTCAGTTACCTAAGGCTATGCTCCAGTTTTCAGTCCTTCTTCACCAGTCTCTGAGAGTTCTGGGATCATGGGATGAGCTCCCGAGCCCAGCTAGTGTTTACTTTTCTAGGTCAGTAGCAATGACTTTTCTCTATCTTTGCTTTAATAGAATCTATTTAATTGATTCTATTAAGTTAAAATAATGAAAATCAAGTTTTGCTTGCTCACAGTCCTCTACTCAACTTTTCTACTAGTTTATAGATCTCCTTCCTGGACAAGGGAAAGGGATTTAAATATGGTCTACATTTCCAACAGATTGGGGCTGATGGCAAGGTACTGATTTGGAATATGTTTCTGGGCAAGGTTGGAAATTTTTTTACTATCATGGGTTTTTATTTTCTGGCTCAGTTGAATTGGTGAATTGGAAAAATCTATGGCGAGGAAAAGTTGACACTAAGTCCACTGCATATACCGAGGCTGCTAAGCTACATGCCAGCTGTTTAGATGAGACGGAGTCTCAAAGCACATAGGCACTCTGCACACACCATTACAGATAAGATCATAGCCTACCCCTTGAAAAAAGCTGTTGGTCCTTCCTTGTTGAGCATGGTCATCGCGCAGCTGGGCACACTTACATACTGTCCCGGTGCAGAATTAATAAATCTGGTTTTCACCACATCCACAGGAGAGGACAGAAGCGTTGTGCAAAACCCAGCAATAAGAGCAGACAGTAAGTGGCAGGGGATGTCATCTAAAACAGATCAGTGAAACAGGTCAACAGACATCTAGGTGGCTTGTTTTTAGTTACCTGTCAGGTCCTTGACAACATGAGGTCAAGATGGATGTCTTGGAAAGAAATAAAATAAGCAAGGTTGTACTTGCACTAGAAGAAAACAGTCAATAATACACAGTGTAACAGATTATAAATGCATCTTCCTCTTTGCACCAAGGCCTGGCACAGTGTCTGATACACAGGCACCCAGTGCTTTTTAGTAGCATGAAAGTCATTGTCAAAGGAGAACTTCAATGTGCCTAGAAACCCTTGTTACATTATTTCTAGGAAGGTATTTTATGGTAGGTGAAATCACCGGTGAGGTTTTTGGATAACTATCTCTTTCGGATACAGTGCAGGAAAGAATATATTTCTAACAGTTCACATTTTAGTATTAAATGAGGATAATATTGATAAAAAATGCAGTTGCTTTTTTTTGTTGCAGCAAAACTGCCACACAAACATTTGTTGTAGTACAATTCTCACATATGAGCCATGGGTCTTTTTTGGGGAGGTTTCAAAAAGTTATATTTAATGTTCAAAATTATCTATTTTTTTAAAGAGAAGACCATTTGGAATTAAGGAAAGCTCTAAGATAAAATAATAGAAGTGTAGATGTATTAATTAGAGACAATATGAAGGTACCTGCTAGTATCTTGTTTCTCACAAGGGCGCCCTTCATCAGGTCATACGTTACTAGCTCCGTGCAATTGATGATAATATTTCTCAACAGATTGGGAGTAGTCCCTGGAGAAAAAAGAAAAGACCATGTTTAGTAATCCTAGCTTATGATAAGGTATTCACTGGATATGTGTTTTAAAGATGATAAAAATCCACCTGGCAGTTACCTTTCCAAAGACTTTTCAAGCTTTCTGTTGTAGCTATAATTCTGTAAGCATTGTAAGTCCCAGTGTAGCGTGGTTTGAGGCCGTGAAGATGGCTCTGTGCCTGGAGTCTGACTTTCACGACCTCTGTGGGCTGTCCGATGAATACTGCCACTCCTCCAGTGGTTAAGCCAGCTGCGATCCTATTTCCCAAACTAGGTGTTGCTATCCAGAGAAGAAAAGACTTATTAAAGAGAAAAAAGACCCCAAAAGCATCCCTGTGTCTTTTTAATTTGTAGTGCTTAACATTTTTATATTCATATATATTTTCCACTTCCCTAATCTTTGTTCACATGTTGGTTATATACTAAAGCTGTATCAGGCCACAGTTGGGCCAGAAGACTGGTTGTCTGATTTTTTTTTTTTTTAAATTAAGACTTTCAGGGTAAAAGGAAATGTTACCCATTTAAACAGTGGCTTATTCCTTTCCTGTGTTTAACTGTGTTTTTCAATACTTTCCAACCTTGAGAGAATAACAGTCACTATGATGTTTGGTTTTCCTCTGAACAATGAAAATATTTATCATTAGATTTAGTGGTCTTAAGAAAAGCCCAATAGAAAAATTGTCTTAATATGGACATCAAGTAATATTAGGCTTCTAGGGAGGGAGGTTAAGGCTTCTCTAGGAGGGAGGCTTCTAGGGGTTAAAAAATTAGAAGAAAGAAACTAATAAAGTGACTAGTGCCTTGAAATTTTGAAAAATGAGTTTATGTTGCTGAAGAAAGATATCATTCAGTAAAATATATATTTATTCCCATATGGAAATACATGGTTCAGTAATATCTACTCATCAAGGACTAATTGTAATAATCTTTCAAATTCTGCTTCCTAACCTTAAAAGAGAGATAAATCAAGAACAAAATAGAAGATAGATAATAGGAAGTAGGGAAGTAGATCTTCCCACTTTTCTGGCCTCACATCCCCACCTTCCATGAAAAAAAAATCCTCTCTGAGTGTATATGACCTTCACATGGCTTGAAAGGTCTTTTCTTACTATCTTTTTTTTTTCCCCCCCTGTGGTACCAGGGATTGAGCACAGGTCCTTGCACTTGTGAGGCAGACACCGCCTGCGGAACCACTGAGCTAAATCCCCCGGCCCTTTTCTCACTATCTTGCTTGGATTCTCCCACTGGTCTTTCAGGGCTGGATTCAAGCACTCACTCCTCAGGGAACTCCCTCCTGACCCTGTTCCCACAGCCACATCAAATACTTGCCTTCTTCAAGCACCCAATGTCCTGCGCTGCCTTGCAACACGGCCTGTGCAACAGTGTGAAGCCAACTCTTAACTGTTGCCCCACCAGCCCCATACTCTGAATAGAGGGCTCCTGCCAGGGGGATACCTGTCACCTGCATATCTAGCATGGTTTCTGGTACATGGCAGCTCAATAAAACTTACTAAATAAACTGAGTAGGCATAACAGAATACTTCTGAAATTTTTCTAATTAATTTGGTGCCTAGAGCTCATATTTAGGGAAGATGGATGTTCAGAAAGATGTTCAAAAGAAAAGATATTTCTTTTTTTGCCAGTTTGTTATGAAGACCACTACTGTGCATTACTTTTTTAGAGGGTGTTGGGTTTTTTTAATTTGGTGTTAGGATTGAACCCAAGGATTCCCAAAGCTAAGCAAGTGCTCTAGCCACTGAGCTACAACCCAATCCCCTCATTAAAAAACAAACAAACTAACACACCAGAGCTGAGCCCTGGACGTACTTGTCCCTCTCGGGAACACTCATTGCTTACTGTCTTTCTCCGAGGTGTAGAACTCCTGGACGGTGTCATAGAGGCCGATCCTGAGGGAGGCGAAGCTTATTTGCCTCTGCAGGCCGGCGGGCAGCCCGCTGTACAGCTTCACGGGCCCTTCGGTCTTCGCCAGAGTGGTGATAGTTCCCAGGACCCCTTTATACCGAATACCGCTGGAGATCTGGCTTTCACCTTGGATCTAGAAATGAGAAAGCTGCAGGTGAGAAGGAAGTGAAACGCGAGTCCCACTGACGAAAAATTGACGGTGGCACCAGATGTCCTTCCAGAGAAGCCTTAAGCCAAGACTTTTTCATTGTGCTATTTTTCAGCAACCTCTTCCCCACCCAGCCCCATATCTCACTGTGGGGGGGGGGTCCAATGTGCATCGCGACCCTCCAGCCCCTCTCAGGAGCCCCTAAGGCCACAGGCTGGGCACCCTGCAGAACCAGAGAAAGGGAAAGCGCTTGGCTTCCAAGTCTCAGCTCAGAAAGCTCAGCGCACCCAGCTTCGGGGGGATTTGGCAGGAGTGGTGGCCCACACAGCATCTCGGGGCCTTGTGGGTCCTTCACTTGATCCCGGAATAAGTTCCAGTTTCCAATCTAAAGCATCTCATCCGCGGGCAGAACTAACTTTTTTTTTTTTTTTTTTTTTTTTTTTTTT